TGTCCAGCAGGCCATTAACCTCTCTGTAAATAGCATCTCACACTGTCTCCGCTCTCCTCCAGCCATGACCATTAAAGACATTCAAACTGTCACTTGGACACGGTGCGATGTCCCCTGAGGTCCCCACAGGAGGCAGTGCCATAGGAAACGCATCCTCCAGGGCCCAAGGGGACCAAGGTCGCTCCGGGAAGATTTGTTGGGTCGGTTTTGGATGATTTGGCTTGTTCTGCCTGACACATTTTCCCATCTCCGGGCTCCCTGCATGGCTGCGCTCTGTTCCTGCGGGCAGCCACTGGAGCGAGTGGTACCCAGGGAGGGGCTCTGCAGAGCCCCCCCTGATTCTGAGCATTCCTGCAGCAGGGAAGAAAATTATCCTCCCAAGAAAAATTCAAATGTGTGTTTTCTGCTCTTGCCTAAAGGCAGCAGGATGGATATTTGCTAAAAGGCTCTTAAAAATAATCTCTCTTTGTCGTGCTGGCCCCAGTCTTGCTCAAAGTTTGCTCCACATATCCTGTGTGTGTGACAACTGACAGACTTGGAAACACATTGGAAGTTGGCTACAGGCAGACACTTCACTATGATCTTTAAAATATACAGCATGACGCGACATATTTTAAATAGATCAAAATACATTTATTACATATTTATATTATTTTCTCTAGTCTATTTATATCTTTCGGAGACTCTTATATATAATATATATAATATATTTAAAATAACATAAAATTGGCCAGTTTTGTCATCTGAAATACATTTTACAAATATATATATACATTGTCACATATATCTCAAATATATGTGCAATGAGACAGAGAAACACCGGAGGTGGAAAAGGTACAGATCCTTCATTGCATCCCTCAGCTTCTCTACCACCACTGCCCCAGCGAACAGACTCAGCATTTCACCCCGGGAAACCAGTGCTCCCAGTTGCCAACCTGCCCTGTGAACTGGTGCCAGGTCTCTGTCCCCAAACCCAAGTGGGGCCAAGCCTGGGGGAGCACTGCGTTTGGGGGGAGATGGAGGGGACACGGTGCCCTGGGGTGGGCAGCAGGACAGATGTGCACAGCTGGCGGGTGAAGGGATGGGTGGCATCGGGCTGGGCGCTGTCCCACGTCCTGTCCCTGCTCCTGTGCCAACCCCCTCGTGGCAGCATTCCTGAATTGGGGGGTGGGAGAGCAGGATGTGGCCGGAGTGCTGGACACAGCCACAGCTGCCACACGCTCGTTTCTGTGTGCAATAAATGAGAGGGGACACACACACACACACACACACACACACACACACAGAGGGGGCTCTTTTGGTTGTCAGCACGAGAGGAAAGGGAAAAGCGTGAGGGTTTAAAAATAAACGTACTCGTTCTGCCTTATTAAAGATAGAAAAGGTGGCTCTGAAATCATCTCCTACAAAAGGTTTGAAGGTCAGGCAGGCACCGAATCGCGAGAGGTTGAGCGCTAAGTGATTGTCCCAGCCCTAAAAGACAAAGTGCACTAAACTCGGTGATGAGAAGCTAAGGCTCGTCCCGATGGCCCCCGGCCCTCCACGGCCTGGTGAGGAGCGCCCAGGGCACAGGATGCTCTCCCCAGAGGTGGATTTGGGGTGTGGGGATGCTGCTGCTTGCTGCCCTCACTGGGGATTGTTCAGGGTGAGGCCAAACCGGAGCAGGTCCGGCCCCGACCCCCGGCTTGGGGAGCCCCGGCCCGGGGCAATCCCTGCGGGATGCTGGCCAAGGAATCGGCGGCTCCCTCCTTCCCAAGGATCAGGTGCAACACCGGAGTGCGCTCCGGGGATGGAGCTGGCTGCAGGAAATGGCCGGCGGCTGTTGATGGTGGGGGGCACATTTCACCTTGCTCCTCTCCAAGCCCCTTCCCACAGGGATTCCCCTCCACAAAAACCCACACCCCCAAAGCACCCCTGTGCCTTCCCAGCCCCCTAAGGAAACACAAGGCCTGAACTTGGGCTTTTCCCACCTTTCTGTTTGTTTCATTTTTAATTTTTTACCCCTTTCTTTGCCAAATGATGGGATTTAAGCTATGGCTGGGCAGCCTTCCCAATGCTCCCTGGTGGTAGGAGAAAAGACCAGTAGCTCTGAGGTCTCACAGGTAGGCAAAAATAATATTTATACACTATGTACCGGCGTGGTCCATGGGCAGGACAAGGACTATACAGTAGATATAGGACATCTCACCAGAGCTAGACCCTCACTAGGGCTTGGGGCAGGGGTGTGTGAACAGGGGCCAGGGAAGGTCCAAAATCCCCTCACTGTGCCAGCCACAGGCTCTCCCTGTCCCAGTTCACATCCTCCTACACAGCAGTTTAAAAATACACCTGTATATATTATTCTATTCTCCCAGGTAACACTGTACAATCATAGAAGTTTGTTTAAAAGCAATAATTTACTTAAAGACATCTCTATTTCTCTTTCGTTTTTATACAAATATTTACTGTGATATATATATATATATATATATTTATAAAGAAGTTAACCCTCTGAGAACTCTACAGCAGCAAGATGTGCACCTTTTATTTTTTTTAACAATTATTATTTATTCAAAAGAACCTAAAACCACTTAAAAGCATTTGTTTTAAAAAAATAAATAAGTAGTGCTCACACAAAATCTCTCTGCCCCCCACCCCCATCCATCCTTCCCACCCCCCAGATGCTGTGGTGCAAAAAGCAGGGGGTAAAAGCATCCCCCCAGGAGCAAAGGGGTTGGAGATGGGATGGCATCCACCTTTGCTGCCTCAGAAACATAAATGTCATGGCTGGAGCTCAATGGCACGTCCCTACGTGTCCCCACTTGTGGGGACAACACATTTGGGGCACTCAGTGCTGGAAGAGCTGCCTCCCAGTGCTGCCCCTGGAGAAGGTTTTCTCCCAGTGGTTTTTAGAGGAAGCCAAAACCAGAGCAGCAGTGTGGGGTGATGGTGACAGACACTGGTGGGCAGAAGCTCTGCAGGGATGATGTCCTGGTCCCCACCATGGTGCGTGGTGGCACAGGGACACTCAGGGCAGCCTTTCCCCAGAGCCCTTGGCAAGGAAAAGATGGGGATGGGGACACAGGACAAATCCTGCTTCTGCCACACCACTGCAAGTCCTGACCCCAAGACTTGGCTTCCCTGGTTTGGGCTGTGGGGGGAAAAGCACCGGGAGCCCATCTCAGCCAAAATGCTGTGGAGGACCCCACTGCTGAGCCCCCTCCCCAAGGGCTCCATGCCCAGGGTCAGATGAGGGATGCCCATGAGGGTACAAAGCCTTTCCCATGGCCACAGGGAGCAGGGAGCCAGAGTTTGGCTCCCAGAGCACCAACGAGCAGCACAGCCAGATGAAGGGACCCACAACCTGCACCTGCCTGACCCCTTCCCTCTGTGGGAGCAGGGCAGGGGCAGGGGGAAGCACCCTTCCCATGCATGGGGTGCTCTGCCTTGTGCCAGAGCCAAAGCTGAAGCAGTTGTCCCAAGGCCAGCCTGAAAGGCGGTGGATGATGGGATGAGGGTGCTGCAGAGCAAGAGGGGGGATGCAGGATGGGGGCTGTGGAGAAGGGCTGGGACACGGGATGAGTTCGCATCTCTAAGGCACAATCCACCTTGAGGCTGGGACACAGGGATGGGCTGAAGCGCAAGATGGGGTGATTTTGTCGACTGGCATCTGTAGTTTTGGGGAGAACACCTGCCTCTGAAGCAGCACTCTCTGGTGAGTTGGGAATTCATAAGGCCCAGCCTGGCATGGACACAGCTCCAGGACTAGAAGTGCAGCCCAACAAGATGACTTTCCCATTGATTTCCATGTTTGAAAATATTCTTCAAGGAAGAAAAATACCAAATTGGTCAGAAAAGTGGGGAAATACCCAAACTTGAGAGCTCTCCACTTTCATTTTTGTGCTTTTCACTGTTATGTCCCTGTTATGGTGAACCTTATGAATTCCCCATCAGAGATGTTGGGGGAGACCCAACACTTCAGCAGCTGAAGTTCCAGACCCCATTTCCACCCCAAAATCCAACATTTCTAGAAATTGGCTAATTACCATGTTTACAATGCTTTTTTCTCTCACAGCCCTGCTTATCCTTATTACCTCCTTTGTCAATAATTCCACTACTTTCTTTCACTGTCACAGACCTACAGTCACTTACATCTGCATATGAAGTCATGCCAGTAGTAAAAAAACACCCCAAAATCGGATGCAATCTTAACTTTTAGCTCTTGCATTTACCCAACAAGTCACCCCCTCAAAGGACCCCAGTGACTTCTTCATTCCCTTGTTCATTTTTAAAAAATACTGAATGACTTCTTTCAGATTTAATATTATTATTATTGTTATAATTATAATAATAATAATTATTATTATTATTTTGGTAAACAGTCTCCCAAACGGTGCAGTGAAAATATTAAAAACCCTCTCACCTCCCTCCCCCGTTTTTTCCCAAATTAAAAAGAAGTACATTAATGTTGCATGTTATTTCAAGTGTTGTTCTTGTGCAACTGAACCAGACCGCCTGCCGAAGGAGCAATTGTTTTGTTGTCGCTGCTCGGTTAAATAATAAAAGGAAAAGAAAAGAAAGAGAGAAAGAGAGAGAGGAAGATTTGTTTCCTGATATTTCCTCTTTTTGGATCTCGCAGTGCTCGGCTCCAGGAAAACGCTGGCGTTTTCCCCATGGGGAGAGCAAAGCCCCACGGGGCCGAGCGGGGCGAGCACCTGCCCACGCCCCACAGACCCTCCTCTCCTCATCCTTCCTTCTGTCCATCCATCCCTCTGTCCATCCATCCATCCCCCAGAGCCGTGGGCCCTGCCGCGGGCGCTGGGCGCGGGGGACGCGCCGTGGCCTGCCACCGTCCCCTCTGCAGACCGCTCAGTGGTTATTGCGATGAAACTGAAAACTATGAACGATACTAATTTCTCAAGCATTCCTATGGCACTTGCATTGTTCTGCATAATTTGAGCGGGTTGTAGGGGAAGAGATTAGAGGAGGAAAAAAAATACCCTTGGAAAAGTCAACGGAAGGACCAAGAGTCATATTTCTGACTCCCTCCTGTACGACCGCTGATCCAACGCTATTGTGGCTTGAAGCCTGTCAAACTCGTGCCTGTTGTCAGGGCTGAGGTCCTCCAGACCCCGACTGTCGTCGTCTTCCTCTTCCTCATCGCGGCTCATGAAGGCCAGCTCGTTCTCGTAGCAGAAGGAGTTGGTGCTGGGCAGCAGGAATTTGTTCTCCACCAAGTCCTTGGCGCTGCAGCGGGGCGTGGACGGGACCTCGTAGGTTTTGTGGAAGTGGGAATAGTCTACTTTGTACTGGTTTTTCTCCTCGAACAAGACGGGCTCGAAGCGGTGGCCCCACAGTATCTCACTGGCCAGGTAGGAGCTCCGAGCTTGCGTCGTCATGGCTGTGGCCTCCACCATGCCCTCCAGGATGACGACGATCTCAAAGTCATCTGTCTCCAAGTCCTGGCGGCTGATCCCGAACAAGGGGCTGTCCTCATTGATCTCGTGGAGAATGGTGATGGGAGACACCAAGAAAATACGGTCCAAACCTTTATCAAAGCCCACGTCAATGTCTATTTGGTCAAGCGGGATGTACTCCCCTTCCTCTGTGATCCTGGGCTTAATTAGCTGAGCTCGTACGTGGGCTTCTACTATGTGGCTTTTCCGTAGGTTCCCAACTCTCCACATCAGGCAGAGTTTTCCATCTCTCATCGCCACTACTGCATTATGGCTAAAAAGTAATGTCTGGGCCCGTTTTTTGGGCCTGGCCATTTTTGCCATTATTGCACCAATCATGAAAGAGTCGATTATGCAGCCCACGATGGACTGAACCACCACCATGAAGACAGCAAGCGGACACTCCTCGGTCACGCAGCGGAAGCCGTACCCAATCGTTGTTTGGGTCTCGATGGAGAACAGAAAAGCAGCCACAAAGCCATTGACCTGCAGAACGCAAGGCTTGAAAGTATCGTCTCCACCCGGGTTTTCTAGGTCTCCATGAATGAGTGCAATAAGCCAGAAAATCAGCCCAAACAATAACCAGGACACCAGAAATGCCAGGGAAAAGAGCAAGAGCATATACCTCCAGCGGATGTCAACGCACGTGGTGAACATGTCTGCAATGTACCTCTGTGGCTTGTCGTCCATGTTGGTGAATTCCACGTTGCACTGACCATTCTTCTTTACAAACCTGTTCCTGCATTTCCTCCTGGTGTGGATTTTCCCATTGCCAAAGCCGTTGATACCTGGCATGGTGGTCAACCTCAGCCCGTCTTCCTCGGAGGACACGATGCTGTAAGGGTTGACTCTGCCCGTTGTCATCCCTGAGCCAAGCCCACAGTGAAGGTGAAGGGTCTTGCGACTCCCAGTGTCCCCCTGACCCACCCCTGCCCACCCCCCAAATTCTGCTGCGGTGGAAGAGAAGTCCCAAACTTCCACGTCTTGGCTGCCACGTCACCACGTGGATCCTGTGAGAGGCTCTGCAATGAGAAAACAGAGACAGGGCCGTTACCACTCATGGCACAGGGACCCAAGGGGCTGCTTGGCCAATGGTTCTGATGAGTGACAACGTCCTGCACTGCTCTAATTCTCCCTTCCTTGGCTGGGCTGCTCTCAAAAACCACACCAAGGAAAGGAGAAGGTGTTAGAGTTTCTTCTTTCATGATATGAAGTGAGTGAACAAATCCTACTGCATTTGTGGGACACTCAACATCTCCAGCAGATTAAAAACCTGGAGAGTTTCTCCACTTCACTTTTCCCACGAGCTCTGCCACCAGAGAGGAAAGCAGAGAGGCCGAGCTGTTCTCCCTGGGACACAGATACCAATAAAGGTACTCCTGGAAGCAGCTCCATCAGTTCACATTGCCCATGCCAGATGGATCGGTGCCCAGCCCAGCGGCGACCTCAGAGCATCAGCTCTTCTGGGCTCGAGGGAAAGCACAGGGAGATGTGGATTTAACCTCTGTCCCCCTGCCCGGGGATGGGAGAGGATGCAGCCAACATGCATCTGGATGGAGAAGGTACTTGCTCAGGGCAGATGTCCTGAGGAGCAACTTTCCCAACGTGTCCATTGGGACATGGAGCCATCCACGGTCACAGATGGGTTGAGCTGGCCAAGTCTCATGAAGGAACAGCTGCCACTGGGGAATGGGGAGCTGTTTTGGTCCCTTCTGGAAGGCTCAGCTGCAGGGTCAAGGACCTACACTCAGCTTTGCTTGGGAGAGAGGTGACATGGACATGGGAGAGGTGGCCCAAGCCTGGTGGAGATGGGCACGTGGTGGGGGAGCCCACTCTGCCAGGCTGCTGGACCCCCCCAGCCCCTCGTGGGGCTGCATCAGGGAGTGCACAGGACTGTGGAGAAGCCATGTGGCATATCTCAAGCCCCTCAAAGAGATGGCACCACAGGAACTCTCCACACACCACCCCCTGGCACAGGTCACCCCATTATTTAGCGCCGTGGGACGTGCCACTGAGGATGGAATCACTTTTCTGGTAGTGAGACCTGCACAGAGCACCAGCATGGGGTGGGGAGCGGGTGCAGAGCCCCCTGTGAGAGCTGAGAGCCCCCTGTGAGAGCCCAGCTGTGCCTGAAGCACAGAGAAGCCGCTGGGCTGGACAGGCTGTGCCGGATCCGCCGGCCCGATCGATGCGCTCGATTCCTGCAATCAGCTCCAGTGCCCGGGGACACGCTGGGACAAACACACCCTTTCCATTACACAGTGTCCCAGTGCCAGGGAGCATTGCCAGGCACAGCCTGCCTGGGGCTGCATCATTGCAATGATACCCTGCACTGCCTTTTACTGAAATGCTCCCCAAACCCAGCCTGAGAATCAGGAAACCCTCCAGAAGCACTGCACCACAAGCAGGAGCACTAAAGCCTGCCCAAACCTCCCAGCTGCTGGACACAGACCCATGTGTGCCACCACCTCATACCAAACAACACATTTTGTCCTGCTGCAATACAAGTACAAAGATTTTTATCAACCAAAGTTGATTTTTGGAGAGCCACAGTAGTTTGTTGGCGTCTCAGAAGACCAAGGGATTGCTCACATACTGAATGAGAGCCTCTCCCTCCTTGGAGCCACAGGGGAGAGCAAAATAGGCACAAACAGTTAATATTAATAGTAAATATTTACAATCTTATAGTCCCTGGAATTTAAACAGGACCAAAGTGGCCTTGCAGAGCTGATCTGTCAGGCCAGCTGCCCAGCACCAACCTGGTCTCCCACCCCGAGTTTTCCTCCTGCCCATCCTGGCTGCATCCATTAATGTTTCTCCTCTTTTTTTTTTAAATGAGATCTGAGTATTTTGGGCCGGAAAAGGCTGCTCCTCTATCACCCCTCTGGCTCACCCCAGGACAATGCACCGAATGCTTTTGCCACAAGAGGAATTTAGAGTTGGGTTTTTTTTAATTAATTCTAGATGCATTTGAGAAGTGAACAAAATGCAATGAGCCCCCAGTGACCTGTGAGAGGATTAGCTGGGGTCTGGATTAACTGTGCTGGCAGGGGAGCTGTGCCCGGGTGACTGCAGAGGCAGCAGAGCTGCCCTCACCTGTGGTGGAGCTTCAAGGGACCCTCAGGCTCTTGTTCCCCCTGCCTGCACCCCTTTATTCATCCTCCCTTCCTTCCTTCCTCCCTTCCTCCCTTCCTCCCTTCCTCCCTTCCTCCCTTCCTCCCTTCCTCCCTTCCTTCCTTCCTTCCTTCCTTCCTTCCTTCCTTCCTTCCTTCCTTCCTTCCTTCCTTCCTTCCTTCCTTCCTTCCTTCCTTCCTTCCTTCCTTCCTTCTTTTTCCCTTTTTCCTTTTCCCTTCTTTCCTTTTTTCCTTTTCCCTTTTTTCCTTTTTTCTTTTTTTCCTTTTTCCTTTTCCCTTTTCCCCTTTTCCCTTTTTCCTTTTTTCCTTTTTTCCTTTTTTCCTTTTTTCCTTTTTTCCTTTTCCCTTTCCATGTCACACACAGTTTCAGGGACCCCACTGCTGCAGGGTGATACCAGGACAGACCCCAGGAGCCGACTCTGGTTTGGGTACAGGGACAATCTTGCGGCACAGCCCCTTTCCCACCCCACATTCCCGAGTCCTTCCCGGAGCTCCTGGTGGGACAGACCCCCCTGTCCCGGGCCGGCAGCGACAGCAGACAAATAAAGCAGCTAAATAAAGGCAGCAAAGTGGATGCGCCGGAGCAGGCGGCCGCCTGCGGCTCGTCCTTTATTTAGCACAGTTTTGTTTGGAAATACACTTTCTCGACTTCGCTGAAAGCTGGGTTTCTGGTTTGCTTTAAATTGGAAGGCTGGAACCCCACGCTGCCGCTGCGGGAGGCTCGGGCTGGGAGAGGGCTCATGCAAACACACGAAAGCCGTGGCTGGACGGGCTCTGACAGGGGAACAGCGGGGACAGCATCCCCGTGGTCACTCTGCACCTCCCCGGCTCCGGAGTGCATCCTCTGCACCAGCGTGGCATCCCCGCAGTCAGAACTGCCCAAGGGGCTACCAGAGGCGATCCTAGGGTACATCCCCCTTCCTTTCTGCTTCCCAGGAGTCCCACAAACCTGCCTAGCACAATTTTCCCGCAGAGGAACAACATCAAAACTTCCCTGACAGCCCCGTTAATCCCAGCCCAGCTCCAGCTCCGGCAAACCCCGCTGGGTGCGGGGCAGGAGCGGGACCGGGACCATCCCCTGGGGTCGGCGCCACGCGTCCCGGGCTGAGCAAACAGCGGTTACGTGTAGGAAACAAACCAGGCTGATAATTCGAGTTTCGGGAACTCGCGGCCCCGGCTCCCCGCGGCTCGGGAGGCAGGACAGCCCCAGCTAATGAGCTGACAAGAGAGGAACAACTCCTGCCACGAAGCTGCAGCAACCCGGCTCCCAACGCGGAGCGGATCCCCGCCGAGAGTCTCCGGCAATCTGCCAACTGCACGCTTAATTTTATTTATTTTACTTTTTGATGTTAAATGTTACAACAATATTCGGGACGGCCAGCGCGCTGGGAAAATGCGCTGGGTGCCGGGGAAGTCATTAGTTAGAGCCGGCTGGATGTGTCAATGCCGTTTATCATCACACCTTTCCTCTGGAGGGGACGCGTTCCGGCTGGCACCCGCCTCTCGCACCCTCCCAGCGTGGATTTTCCTTTCTCCTGGGAATGTGGCGCAGCTCAGGTGAGGCTCGGAGGAGTTTGGGGTGATGAGATTGCAGGAACCCCGTTGGAGGGGCAGGGAGGGGATGGCTGAGCGGGTCACACTGGGCGCTGCTGCCTGCCCCGAGCCGCGATAACGCTGCCCTGCTCCGGGAGATAACGCCGCTATCTCCCGCGGCGATGCCCTTCATGGCCCAGCAGCAGCAGCACAGCAATGTCAGCGGTGAGGAGGACAGCAATGCCACCCAGCTCTGTGTGAGGCCGAGAAAGCACAAATATCCCCTGCTCACCCCGTCCCCACAAAGCCACCCCTCACTGAGGGCACCCCCAAACCGAGGGGAGGCAGCTCAGGGGCTGCTCAGCCATGCCAGGGCAGCAGCAATGCCTGAATAACTCCCTCCTACAATGGCCTGTCTTTGAGCACTGCCAAAAAATGAGGGGTCAGCACAAGGCAGGCCAGGTCAGGACATATAAAGAATGAATGAGGATAAATGGCTCCCTGTTTCCCCTCCACTAATGGGGAGGACAGGGAAGAGGTTCCCACCACAGTGCATCCCTAATGAGAAAGAACTGCTCCATTTTGGCAAGGACGCAGGAGGAAAACAGCCACGGGCACATACCCCTGCCCAGAACACCCATGTACTCCCTATTTCCAACAAGCAGGTGAGAAATTGCTGTCTGCAAGTCTTGGTGGCATATACAGAAGGGAAACTGAGGCACGTGGGACAAGGAAGGCCCTTGGGACAAGGAAGACTCTCCCCAGGGTGCCTGGAGAGATACTGGCTCATCCCTGTCCCCCTGAGCCACGTGTGGATGCCACGGGTACAGGAGCAGGAAAAGGGCCACGTGCAGCCTTCGTCACCACCGGGGCCAGGCGGCCTCTGTGGGGTGATGGGCTGGTGCTTAAGCACCCTAAAACTCCTGCTGGATGTGCCCTGGATCAGAGAAATCCTGGAAAAGAGCCTTTCAGAGGCTGCACTGAGCGTTTATTTGGCCCCAAACTCCGTGATGTGGGGACTGAGAACCCCAGTCCAGCTATGCCTGCTCCAGCTCAGCACCCATCCCTGTTCCAGCACCCATCCCTGTTCCAGCACCCATCCCTGCTCCAGCTCAGCACCCATCCCTGCTCCAGCACCCATCCCTGTTCCAGCTCCCATCCCTGCTCCACCTCAGCACCCATCCCTGCTCCAGCACCCATCCCTGTTCCAGCTCAGCACCCATCCCTGTTCCAGCACCCATCCCTGCTCCACCTCAGCACCCATCCCTGTTCCAGCACCCATCCCTGCTCCACCTCAGCACCCATCCCTGTTCCAGCACCCATCCCTGCTCCACCTCAGCACCCATCCCTGTTCC